TCTGAGCTTGTATGGTTGTGTTTCTGTGTAAAGGCCATCAATACTCCTCCTCGTCCTGCTGCCTCTCTTCGGGATTTCAGCTTCTTCTGTGCCCACTTTTCATGGAGCTTCTAGGAATTACCCAGTCTCTACTAACTGAGCGTAACTTGCTCTGCCTGTGGATCTTGCTGTCTCCCAGCCCAGACTTTCCATGTTCCCAGCACCATCTGGTCCTGCTTTGCTGGCAGTGTGGGTAACCCCAAACCCCTCATCTTCATACAGATCTAGGGCAGGGACTTCACAGGGCTGGGAGATCTCAGGGCATACCCAAACTTGTGATCTTTGTTGATTCCAGAGGTGTCACTCCACGGTGGAGCTGTGGTGCTGTGAGTTGAGGTGGCCTCTTGCTGCCACAACGACAGACCATCCCACTGTCAAGGACAGGTCCCTCCTGCCATCAGCTGGGGAGGGGTTGGGGCTCAGAGGGATCCATCACCACCTTCTCCCAGGGCTGTTTGTGGCCCCTGGGGCATGCAGGGCTGGGGGATGGAAAATGGCTTGTTCCCAGCTCATGGGATGCTCTGAGTCCCTGCAGCTCTGTGTGCTCAGATGGCAGCTCGAGTGAATCTAATTAAAATGTGGTGATAGCTGTCTGCCAGGGCTCCGATGGAGAGGGATGGGGAAAGGGGCTCTGGCTTCCTGTCTCTGGTTTCCATGAAATGAAGACTTCTCTGATGCAGACTCACTTAGCACTTTCTCCTCCTCTGCTCCTCTGTTGTCTGGATCCAGGCACACACAATTTTTCCAGAGGGTATCTCAGTCCTCGGGTGTCCTCTGAGCTCTGGTACCTCGTCCTGTGTGCAGTCACTGCAGACACACAGGGGGGCTCTGCCATCCATCTCATCCCACACCCACAGGGCTGGGCCCCCCTTCCCTGCAGCTGGGATGGCTGGAGCCTCCGAGTCCAACAGACACGGCTGAGGCCATGTGGTGACTCGGATAGGCTTCAGCTGGCAAAATCCCAGGGCTGTTCCTAAGTGCTGCTCAGTCTCCAGCTCTTCATCTGTCCTTGCAGAGGAAAGGGAATGACAGGACAGTCCATTTGTCCTGCTGCTGCCAAATGCAACAGCAGCCTCCTCCAACTGGGTCGGGTTGTGTGCCAGGGGAGGGTTAGGCTGGATATTAGGAAAAGGTTCTTCCCCCAGAGGTGTTTGGGCACTGAACAGTGGCCAGTGAGTCTCTGCTTGCTCAGCACGTGACTGAATTCTGGAAGTAGAGATGTGCACATACCACTTGATGCTGCCAGGGGAGAGGGATGTGTGCCCTGTGCTTTGGGAGAGGGATGTGTGTCCTGTGCTTTTCTCCTGCCTGAGATGCACACCAGCTCCCCCGAGGAGACGTCTCACTGGGTCACCAGAAAAAGTCATTTGAAGTCTACGTCTGCTCTCCTTAAATCACCTTGGAAGAAGGGAGACGTGCCCAGCTCCTGGCATCTCTATTTTTACTTTGTGCAGAGATGGATATAGCTGAGCTGTCTCCTTTTATTTCCAGCATTTGGCGTGTGCTGTAGCATGTTGCTAAAGATGTGTCTGGCTGGATGCAGAGCTGCCCGCTTGCTTCCTTCAGTCCCTAGGGGACTGGAGAGTGAAGGACTCTTGTCTTCTGCATGGCTTCATAATTCATTTCTTCTCTACTAGCTGCTCTTTGCCTCCCCCTTCCCCTTCACTTAGTTTTTGGACTTTGTTTTTTCCTGTATTTATTCAAATCAACCTAGGTAAACAGGGAGCAGGAGTGTGGTGACTGGGGCCACTGATAGCACTGGGTTCCACAGGCATTTTTATTGGGTTTCTAACAACTGGAACTGGTCTGTTCTGATGCAGAAACTCTTCTTATTTGCTCTGTGTGCGGCTTGGCACAGAGTTCTCTTTGGAAAGGCTCAAACTGTGCATTTTGCTTCCTGACAGTCAGGAGCTCTGTGCCCCAGGTGGCTGCTGTTGCAGCAGCTCCAATGGGGCCAGTTTGCCAGACCTGTCCCACCATGCTGTGTTTAGGTTGCATGTTTTTAGCTGCCCCCAGAGCCATGTGTCTGAGTTGTGCCTGTCACACACCCCCGTCCCTCCCCCTGCTTGTGGGCAGGAGCCTGTACATGATAGCCAGGAAAGTCCCCAGTATGTTCCTGTGCCCATGGGATGCTCATGGAAAGGCTGATTTCATGCTTAGCTGTTCCAAAACCTGGTTAGGAATGAGATAAATGGTTTGACCTGTGGAACCAGGTGCCTCTGAAACCTCCCAGATAACCTGGGGGGAATGAGAGCCCTGTAGTTGTCAGGCTTTGCTGCTGTGGCTCTGGGGGTGAAATTAGGGGGCTTTCTTTCTGGCTGTACTGTACCTGCTGCCCCTAGCATTTCCCACCCTGTGGGGGCCTGGGGATCTGCTGGCTCCTCCAGTAGTCTGGGGGATGAGCAGGGAGTGCAATCCCTGTGTGCAGCCACAGCCCCACTGTCAGCCGTGGGGCAATGCTGTGCTGAGAGGTGTTGTACACCCCATTCTTCACCCAGAGAGGTGGGGGGACCTTATATTTCTGGAGCAGCTTGGAGAAGATACTCCATAATAAATCTCTGCCCTCTGAACTGTTCCAAGGCTTGCCTGACATCTGGTGACTTGTTGTGCCTGGTGACAAGTACACTGGGAGCTTTGGGGAGCATAGAGGAAAGGGGAGAGTTTCATTGCTGTGAAATTCCCTTCAAGCTTTTCAGCTTGAAATGTGGCTTTCTGCCCTTTCAGCTGTAGTCATGCACCTGGAATGGCAGCCCTAGGGTGTGTGATGGTCAGGAATGTGGCTGGAGAAGGCTGCCCTTGGTGGGGATGCAGGGCTGAGACCCCTGAGAGCCTCAGAGCTCTCCCTCCAGGGACTCTCTCTCCTCTATAGGCACAGACTGGCTGCAACCACAGCAGTTTGGGATGTCAGTGGTTAATTGAGAAGCCTTGGAGCTAACAGCTCCTGGGCCTGTGCTGGAAAACTCAGCAAGCTGCAGGGAGACTTTTGGACATGATCTCACTTTAGCCTTAGTGCTTCTCCATGGCAGCAGAGAGCTGGCTCAGAGTGTCAGACTGCAAACCCAGTCTCTGAGTGCTGAGTCTATCTGCTGTGGGAAGGGAGATGGGCCACAAGATGTGCCTGAGCATTCCCACCCACCTGCCTCCCTGGAACAGGAGTGCCTCCGCACCGCAATGCAGCAATCCCCTTGTCTGGGCATTGCTACAGATGGTGGGATCTGTAAACTTCTGTGGTGCAGGGAGGCTGGGGGGAGCCTGCTTAGGGGCTGTTGCTCCTGAGGGATGTGAATGTTCTCCTGTTCTTGGTTGGGCTCGCTCGCATCTCCTGTGTGAAAATGTGGGAGTGGAGCAGGTGAGTCGGGGCTTGATTTGACTTGAGCCATCTGTGGTATCTGGGCTAACTCGGAGTGGGATAGGCTTGTTGTGAGCCCAGAGGTTTGGGTTGAGCCATCTGTGGTATCTGGGCTAACTTGGAGTGGGACAGGCTTGTTGTGAGCCCAGAGATTTAGGTTGCTCCTTCTCTGGCTAACTCAAATCAAAACAGGCTTGTGAGCCCAGAGATGTGGTGGTATGTCCAAGATGGGAGCATGAGAGCTAGTACCAGTGTGTGGGTACACAGGATGTCACCCTGCTAAAACCAGTCCCTGTTTCCTCTGATGCTGAGACTCTGATGCTGTGGTTTTGGCTCTGTCACCTGACAGAAGAGAGAACTGGATGACACTGGGGAGTGTGCTGGGGTTCACTGTGGTGGTTCAGCTCAGGAGGGAACCTGTGTCTGCTCAGAGCAGGTGTGCTGTGTGCCCTGGTGCTGGCAGCTCCCCTTGAAGGCCACACTCTCCTGTCCTCCCCCTGCCTGGGAAATGCTGATGCACATCACAGACAAACAAGTGAGCGATGTGTCAGCCTTGCTGCTGTATTGATGCTTGGTTAATGAGAGTTGGCATCTGGAGCTGTTTATCCTTTGTCCTTGAGTGTAGAACAGCACTTGGACTGCAATGGGCTCTTCATCTCATGGTCATGATCAGCTGGAAGGGTATGGCAGGAGGTCTGATGGGGGGAGGCTGTTCTTCCTTGTGAGATTAGACTCTTAAAGCCCTGAAGAGCTTGTTCCACCTGAGTGCATGTAGCAAAGCATCTCCCTTACTGGGACTGCAGTAAGAGCTATGCATTCCCCCTGCAGAGAGGCCTGGATTTGGGTTTCTTTCCACCCTGCCTTGAGTCAGCGTGGAGGACAGTCACACTGGCCAGGCAGGTGCCCTGGAGAGCTGTTTGAGGTGGTTGCAATGAGCATCACTTGCAGCCCTTGGTGTTTGGATAGGTGGGTGGAGGTGGTGATATCAGCAGGGCTGAGAATGCTTGTGGAGAGGAGGGGGAAAGCTCTTAAGTCAAGGCAAACTGACCACCTGCCTCCCAGGGAGATGCTTCCTGAGGACGCAGCTTGAATACAGGGGAGCAGATGGGTGAGATGGGCAAAGAGTGTGTCTGTTGGTTCCTGTCACCTTCCTGCCAGCAGAACTATTCACCAGGCAAATGGAGTGAGAGTCCTGTGGGATCCCTTAAAGCTGCTGCAAAACTTGGTGGGGATTGGGATGGGAGATATTCAGGCTGGGACAGCCCTGAAGGCTCTGTTTGTGCCAGATAGGTCTGACTGCATCCTCCCTGCTGAGGGAAACACAGCAGATCATCTCCTGCTGTGCAGCAAGACCAGTCTGTCACATCTGTCTGTCTGTCTCTGCGGTCCAGTGTCGACCTCAGAGTTTGATTTCAACGTGCTGAGTATTGGCCAAGACTAACTGAAAATGTCTGTGGGGAGCTCCTCTGAGAGCCACACTGCAGGCTGAGCTCTGGGGTGACTTTCTCCAGGCAAGGCACAGACATAGCTCAGATTACTGTCCTTGCTTTGGGGAGGGTGACATGGCATCCCTAGACCTGTGGCTTTGCTATGAGCCCTGTTTCTCTGACAGGAGGAAAAAGCCACTCACTTGGAAGTGGTGTCTCTGCTGGGAAGCAACATGCTCATCATCATGATCAGAGGTCCTGATGCAGGGCAAGTGTTATGGACAAAATGCTTTTGCTGCAATCCTTTGAAGTTGAGACTGACCCCAGGACATGGGAGCAGGCTCCCAGGGGCTGGGGATGTCCTCTGAGAGCAGCAGGGCTGTGAACTCCAGCAGCAGAGAGTGTGTTCAGGCTGCACTAGGGGGTCCAGCTCTCTGCTGCTGCTTCAAACAGGGCTTGTTTAGCTGGCTAACAGGCTTGTGCTGAACATCTCTCCTCCCAGGACAGCAGGATACTCAGCGGGATGCCAGGCTCCTTGTGGGGTGGGAGGCAGCAGAGCTGTCTGCTGCTCATCCCTGTCTCGACAGGGGCACTCAAGTATTTAGGAGAGCTTCAAGGTCAAGGAGAAGCATCTGCCACCAAGGTCTCAGCTGTCAGTTGGAGTGCTAGAGCTGAGGCATGTGTTGGGAGGGGATGCTGCTTTGTTTGGGGGAAAACTAGAGAGGTTTACCTCTCAGAGAGCTGGAATCACTGCTGGTAAGGGCTTCCACACTGCAAGGCACCCAGCTGGAGGGCTTCAAAGGTGATTATACCTGGGAATAGCACTGGGGTGGCAGGGACTGTGCAGTAGTGCTGAGAGAAGGGGAAAACATGCTTCAGAAATGAAAGTGTGACCTGATTCCTGTGCTCCATTTTCCCCACCCTGTGTGTGTTTTCAAGCAGCACTGCTCCTGCACAGGTCCACATACAGCACCTGAAACAAGTCTGGCCCTGAGGTTTTGCTTTCTCCCGGTGCTTACGTGTGTGCTGTCTCTCCACAGCCATCAAGGTGAGCTGCGTTGGATCCTGTGGGGTGTCTAACAAGATCAATGACACAGCATGGACTGTGGAGGAGCAGTACTTCAACAGCACACTGTCTCTGGCAGACAAAGGTACAGTCCACAAAGACATGGTGGAGATCTGTGGTTCTGAGATGGGTTAGAGAAGTGTATCACCAAGGCTTCAGCATATTCATGATGTGAAATAGCCCTACACAGACTGCCTTGGCCTGTGCACAGAGGATGGGAGCCAATATCAGAGACTACAAGAGCTTAGCAGGAGCTGTGCAAAGAAGCATCCTGAATAGCTGCAGAATTTGGCAGCCACCCTGCAAACACTGCTGGCATCCTCTGGCCCTGCTCTGCCTGTAACAGAGCTGCCAGCAACAACTTCTCTGCTGTCTCAAAGCCCTGGGGGTTCACTCTGCTCCACTTCCTGCGTGTGTTGTTTATGGTGGTCACAAAACCCTGATAAAGCTGGTCAGTAGAAACCAGGAGTAGTTTGCACTGAAGGGCATGTGGAGGTGCCACTTGTGCTCCAAGAGAAGCACTGGGATCAGCCTAGGACAGTTAGTCCCACACCCCCCACAAGTGAGACGCCCAGAGATAGCAACAGGGTTGTATTATCCTGTGGGGTAAAGTGACACCAGCAGTCCCTGGGGAATCTGGGCCCAAATGAATGCTGTCTTTCTGCTGCTAAATAGGTCAGCCTTACCACAAATAATTCATGCTGTGCCCTGGCTCCTGTTGACATCAAGATGTGCCAGTATTCACCTGCTGAAGGCAGTGGCTGTAGCAGTAACTCTAACGTAGCAAAAGCTCAGGGTAGCAGGAGCTCAGCCCTATGATCCTGTTTTATCTGGTAAAACTGAAGTGGCAGTTTCTCCTAGCTCAGCAATTTTCCAAGCAGAGCTTTTAGCATCTAGGGGAGACTGCCCTTATCCTCACAGCGACTGGTGAGAGTGCTGCTTGCTCTGGAGTCCTGGGAAAGGGAGACAGCTGGCTGGCTGGCCTGGCTCTTGGCTCATGGCCCAGCGGCTGCAGTCACAGGTAAACTGCCTGGGAGAGCAAGGGGAAACATTCCTGCCTGATTTTGGATGCAGTACTGAGCATATACCACAGCTCTGAATGTCAAGGTGGCAAAACCCCAGAAGCTCCATAAAGTGCTGCAGACCATTGAGCTTAGATGAGTCGGGGGCTGGAGGCTGTGGACTTGTGGAGGGGTTTCAACCTGCAACACCTTTTGTTTCTAACATTTAATGATTCAAGGGAGAACTGTGATACTGTAGTCAGTTCTGTCCTGGGAAAGCTGAGTAGTGGCAAAAGCCAAGCAGGAGGCAGGAGTGGAAAGGCAGGAGTGTTGTTTGTTGGAAGCCTCTAGAAGACTTTGATTGCTGCTTTGGCAGTTGGTTCTTGTGAGGTTGCCCTTGGAGCCATCCCCTTGACAACTAGGACCAGGGTGGACTGGGAAGGGTGGAAGGGAAGTGCATGCTCTGAAGTGTCCCCTTTGAAGGCCTGACTTCCAAAAGGCAACCAGAATTTGGTTCTTAAAAAAGGGTTCATGGCAAACCCTAGTCATTTGGCTCTTGATTTTCTGGAACCCAGACCCTTGTGTACATCCCAGGGCAGCGCTGATATCTGTCATCTGCAGGTATCACAGCCTCTGCCAGCCTTGAGTGGATGCCCAGGGCTGGGTGGCAGGGCTGAGCTGCTGGCTCTGCCCTGGAGCCAGTCACAGAGCTGGCAGTGGCCCAGCTTGTGTGCCTGGGCCAGATGACATCTTCCAGAGCTACCATGGCTCCAGGCAAGGGAGGCAGCAAACAGCAGTGCGTGACTTAGTCGAGGTGTAATGAATTGAAGGGAAAATCTGTCCCTGTAGAGTCCTGTGCTCAGAAGTTGTGCTGTAGTGTCACTGCTGTCCTGCATTGCAGAGCTGTGGTGCAGTGCAAAGCCTGGCCCCAGGTCCCAGCAGTCAGTCTGGAGCAGTGTGCTGGGAACTTACAGTCACTGACCTCTGCTCTTCTGCTTTTTCTCTCCAAGTGAACACAACTGCTGGGAGCTCTCAGCCCCTGATTCCCAGCTGCAGGGAAGTAGATAGGGACAGGGCAGCCAGTCCCTGTGGATGGGATTGCAGCCAAGGGCAGTGCTCATGGGGATTTGACCTTCATGCTCAGGAATTATTGTCCTGGACTTGCAGTGTTTGTCCCGTGTCTGTCTTCAGGCAGGGTGGCTGGGCCCCTGTGAGGACAGGGAGCAAGCCATATGGCCATGAGCTGAGACAGGGGAGATTCCAATGAGATATTAGGAAAACTTTGTCACTGTTAGTGTTGTCAGGCATTGGAATAGGGAATTGCCTGTGGAGGTGGTGGAGTTGCCATCCCTGGAAGTGTTTAAGAGGTGTCCACGCCTGACACTGGAGGGATAGGGTTTAGGGTTTAGGGGTTGCAGCAGTGACAGGTTAAGGGTTGGACTTGATGGTCTTAGAGGTCTCCTCCAGCCTTGATGATTCCATGATTCTGAGTGATGGGGTGAAGATAGGAGGGTGCAGTGTCAATGCTGCCTTTGGACCAGAATCCACCAGCAGAGATGACTTGGAAACTGGCCCTTGCAATTGCTGTGCTGGCTTGCATGGCTGTGGGAACAAAAGCCCTGGGGGCTGGCACCGCTCCAGCCTGCGGCACAGGGACAGAGATAACTGTCTGCTGTCACAGCCCTCCCAGTGACATTGATGCATGTCTGGCCTGGCAGAGCAGCAAAGAAACTGAGCTGCTTCTCCATGTCTCTGGCTCTGCATGTGTCTGTCTGTCTCTTCTGGGGGGGCTGCTGGCAGCAGTGTCCTGGCACAGCACAGCCCTGCAGTGAGGCAGCGCAGGGGTTTGCTGGGGGAGCTGGGAGATGGCCTTGTGCAGGCAAGGCCTCAGAGCTGACTCAGCCATGGAGTTTTTAGGCTTTCCAGGAATAGCTCTCAGCTGCCCTGGCCTTTCCTGAAGAGAGCATGAAGGAGCTTCAGACAGACGGAGTGTCCCTCATGGGTGTTCCCCGAGTGCCTCTCTGCAGGGCTGACACCAGGCTGGGAGAGGAAACTGAGGCAGGCTGGACTCCTGGCTCTTGGGGCGTGGGATGTTGAGCTTGCTGATAGGTGATGGCAGGAGCCCAGGGTGTGGGTGAGTTAAGGGAGTTGGAAGTGTTTCCAAGCAAGGACTCCCAGAGAAGCATGGGGCCAGCCTGGCTGCTGTCCCACACTGCTGGCACACAACTCCTTCCCTGGCCACCATCGACAGCAGCAGTGACAGAGCACTACGAGCAAAGGTTACTGCAGTGGCATCTGGTATGGTCCTGCCACGTGTGTCAAAACCACACAGAACCCCTGGGGTGAATCCATGCCTGTTCCTCCAGGTGAGAGCTGGCTGTGCCCACCCCTCCTTCTCCTGCCCTGGAAAGCAAACAGCAGCAGGGAGGGCAGGAACACGGAGGCTCTGATGTCAGCAGAGGGACTGCCTTCCTGCCGTGCTGCCAGAGCTCTTATCCATGCAGGGGATGTCACTGCCCAGCAGCACGGGTGGGAAATGGAGGAAAGGGGAGGAATTCACTTCTGCCTCAGAGGACTCTTCTGATCCTGCCTTCTCCCCACTACAGCAGTGCTGTTACCTGTTTTTGAACCTGTGCACTAAATAAACAGGCAAGGTGTGCAGCGTGTCCTTGCTGGGGGGAGCTGGCAGCCAGGCTGTGCCCTGGGGCAGAGAGTGATGCTCTGCTGGCACCACCCCCAGCCCTCTTCCAGGCCGCTAGCATTGGCTCATCTTGAGGAAGGATCCCAGGTGTCCCCAGGTCCATACAGCCAACGAGTCTCTGTCCTGCCCATCCCTGGTGAGCAACCCCTGCTCCAGTGGTGCCACCGCAGTGCTGGCACCTGGGAGGTGGTACAGGAGGCAGGCTCAGCCTGAAAACAGCCCACCTTGCTCTCTCCCTTCCCACATCCTGAGCACTGACTTTGAAAAACAGCGATCTGTGCTCTTTGAGGACACGTGGGGGGAAGGGGAGAGGAGGTTTGCAAACCTATCCAGGCTCAGATTGTTCTTGCAGCATCGAAGAGTGACTCTGCACTTCACCCACACACCTTCGCACTGAAAGAAGTGAGGGGGCAGCTCGTCCCTCTGTGGCACCAGCTGTTGCTTGTATTCCACGCTGGTTTGGGTTTTTTTTTAAGGGTGTACAGTCTGTGAGAGAGGAGGCAGGCCCTGAAATAACTCAGATGCCCACTTTGCGATGCAAGGCACTTATTTAAAGCACTTTCCCTTCTTGCCCCCTCCTTGGAGCAGCATCCAGTGTGGGGAGGACTCAGCCTGGAGCACCCCCAGGTTGGTGACAGGTGTTGCTGCAGAGGACCCTGCTCCCCTCGGTGCTGGCATGGTGCTTGTCCCCACTGGAGCAGCACATGCTCCAGGAAAGCCTCTCCCTGGAGCTGAGCCCGAGCTGGAGGCAGCAGCACCCGTGAGGAGCTGGGGGTTGTGCAGTAGCCTTGGCAATCACACACAGGCCAATGGTTTAATGAACTCAGGCTCTTTACATAAAAGCTGCTGGGAAGTGCTGAGTGTGCCAGCTGCTCCAGAGCCTCTAGCTGCTCTGTTTGCTGGAGAGCACAGTGTTGTGCCACAGAGATCACTCAGCTCACAGGGGGTTTTCAGGGAGGCTCCGTATTTGCCCCCTGGAGGACAGGCTGAAGTGGGGATTTGCTTTTCCCACTTGGGCTTTGGCTGCTCCCTGATGCTGTTTTATCTTGGGGTGTCTTTTTGCAAAGAGGTACAAGAGGTGGGGGCACTTGGGTTTCTGTAGGTGTCAGCAGTGCAGGAGATCAAGTTGTAGTGAGTACAGAATAGCACCACTTGTACCCGCTGCACTTGGACAGAGATGCTTCTCTTGAATCAATATAATGGAGTGATTCAGCTCTGTGAAGCCTCCTGCTGCTCTCCCCCTCCGTGCCATGGCTCTGCCCTTGCTCAGCCAGAGAGGAGCAGGTTCATCTTGTGCCTGTACCCACGTATGGCTGTTTTCTTCCCTGTATCTCTGACTGATCACAGCTCTTGTCCTGTGCATGGGTTGCACATATAAATGTA